TTTAATTTCATTACTAAACAGGGACCAAATATTTATATTTTCCTTTTCTAAACTAGATAATACACATGCTTTATACAAAAAAGTAAAAATGGATTCATATATGAGCTGATTATATCACCAATATAATGTTTTCAGAAACAAGAGTAGTCTACTATATCGTTGTTATAATTCAAATTGGTTTGTGTGCAACTATTAACCATGATATTAAAAATTACACCAATACATTTTTTTTTCACATTTAACTATCATATGTTTTTCATCATCCGTACCCTTGTTCACATCTGTCACACAACTCTGATACATAGCGTTTCCATATCTTGAGTTTCTTTTATACAATAAACTTTTATATCAATGATTATACCAGTTCAATTCCTGTAAAATGAGTTCTCTTTCCCACTTGGTTTGTACATTATCTTTTATGAAACCTTTGTAAAATTGTTTAACCTTTGAACTTTCGCTTTAAAAGCGGCTCATTTTAACAATTACATTTTACGAAGGATTGCTATATGTACATTAAATATGTTCATCCACGTGTTCGGAATTGCAATTTTAATTTTCATAAATTCAGTCATCCAATTATGTAGTGATACAAGTTTGTCTGTAATTATTTCTTCTGATGATTTGAAACCAATATTATTAACAATGTCATTGTGATTATACTAGATTCAATCCATACTTTAGTAAACAGGGGTATTTTATTTATACCAATGTGTTTCTTACCCCATATTTGTTTTTTAATTTCACATAACGTGTTCGGTGTTTACTATTGATTCTATTGTATTGAGCACACATTTTTATTTTTTATATTAATTGGTTTTAGGCCAAATGCCAATGATTGCCAAGCATTGAACTTCAGTCAATATTCAAAGTGGTATATCCCTTCAAAAGACAAACATAAAAACAAGATGTTCTACATATACCAAGTCTCATTATGAGTGGAGTTGTTATGGTCATGAGAAAAAAACAAACAGGTTACTTTGACAGAAATTGAACCCAGGACCCTAGGATTGGAAGGCAAGCACTTCAACCATCATGCTATTCAACTACACTCCACATTAGAAGCATATCTCTATACAATTTTGGAATATCTAATTCATATACATTGTTTGTACTTAAATTAGTCTTTTGCGTCATGTAATTAACAGGAGGCAGAAATCATTAAGGAATACACTTCCATTTTCCTGGATCATGGCTTAGGGGCCGCTTAACTCAATTTCAGCTTCAACGATTTGACTGTAATGTTAAAATCCGTCACATTAAGTACCCCATTCGTTATATCCTCAGTGGGACAAAATATTTCTTTCACCTTTTCTCTGTTACCATTTCAAATAAAATTAAAGATTATTATGTTATTGGGCACCTCAGTTATGCTAGAGTTGTAAATTAGTTTGGAAAGTGCAAGTGTATTTCTTTTTTTTTTCATGATCGTATTACATTTTCAAAATTAGCAATCTTGTAGACCCAGATTTTTTCTTAACATTTCCTTTTATTGTTACCGACAAAAATCTAAAAAAACTTGCAGGTTCTTTAACCCAGGGGTTTCGGATATTTTCTTTACAGGATCCAATCCACATTCCTTTAGTCTTCATATTGTTTGGGGACACACCAACCACTTTACAAAAAGATTCAACCTCATATAAGAAAATATAAAACATAGGCTTACTCCAAATATTGAAATGCACGCCAGCTGGATCTTATTTAAACACATTTCGATACATCTTTGGCAAATGAGATCGTATCATTAGCTAACTGTACAATTTTAACTTCGTGATATATTCTTTTGAGGGTAGCATTATCTCCTTAAAAATTGCTATTTCTAATATTACTAGCAACAAGTATAGGAAGTAGCGCCGTTAGCGGGCATACTTGTTTAATAATGCCACTATCAATACTGAAACTGTTTTTTGTTTGTTTGCGGTAATAAAGTGTTTTTACTCTTATGTCTTTACCAAAACCAAATCTTACCAACGATTTTATTATAAATGTTCTGTTATTTGTGTCAAATGCTTTTGCGAAGTCTCGAAACACTAAAACCATTCAGAAAATATAATACATACTCCAAGTATTAAGATGCACGCCATCGTGTTTGGATTCAAAATGTATCACAACACGATGGCGTATATTTTAATACTTGGAGAATGTATTATACTTTCTTATCTGAGATTAATCAGTGGACTATTTGTTTTTTTTGTTGTAAAAATCCTTCCTTATTAAAAACATCCGTTAGGACATTTACTTTTACATGTTTAACTGTATTGGCAATAACATTTGCAACTATCTTATATCAATGTTGAGTAGAGTTATTTGCCTTCATTTTAAAGGTATTCCCTTACCACTTTTCTACAGTACAAATTACACCTCTTATTGTATATAATATTATCTATGCTACTCCAAAAATTCAACCGATAGACCATCATTTCCATGTGTTTTGTTGGATTTCCTTTTAAATACAACATATTTGCACTCATCTATTGTCAAATCTCCTTCACATGTTAATTTAAAATCTTCCGAAAAATCATTAACCTAAATGTTATTAAGGTATTCTACAATAATTGTGCTCCTGGCATAAAATTTTGGAATTTCAATTGAATTTTATTTTTTCCCACGATTTAAAACCTTTATTTTTTTTTGCTCGTTTTTCAAACCAATTTATACGTGAATGAATGTTTACAATTTATCTCATACCATCAGGCATTAGCTTTGCCTAACCTTCAATGATTAAACGTTGGAAGAGAATTTTTGTTAGTTGAATTTTCCAAGGGCCTCGAGAAAATCTTACCTAGTGCTTTAAAAATAAAAGATTCAGAAATTCTTGTTTTCCGGGTTTTTGCCGTCTAATAATAAAAGTAAGTAACCAATTTCCATAATCGCCTCTTTCACCCTCTGCTGGTGGTGTGCTTGTTCTTGTAATTTCTATTTGTCTTATCTTATCTTTGTTCAAGAGTTTTTGTATATTCTAAATGTTTGTCATTCCATGTGCTGAAACTATTTTGTTCTCAGTGGAGTATACATCTTTTGTAACTGGTTCTATAATTTTTGATTCATATTTATTTTTCTACATAATGTTTGAGTGTTGCATTTTAATGTTAATCATCGATTATTTTTTGTGCTCGCTATGGCTTTTGGTGTTTATTTTTTTGCATTGTTAATGGTTTTTAATCCTTTAAATATGTTCAGTAGTTCTCCTTTTTTGTGCTGATTTTTATTATCTTTTTGATGTATTTTATTGATACTGTATTGGTAAAACCTCTTGCTGCTTTGTTGTGATTTTCCTTAAATGCTTTTTGATGTTGTTCTCTTAAAGATTTTGGTATTTTTTTAGTGAAATGGCCTATGTGAAGTCTCAATTTTGTTATGTGTAAATCTTCTCGCAACTCAATTTATTTTGCAATGATGGATTAATTAAAGGAGATCATCAAGGCGGCTTAATAGTTTTAGTGATTTCTTTTAAAGGAATTATGGTCACACCAGCAGGGTCCTCTTTAGGGTCAACAATTAGATATCGTATTAATTCTACAAAATCAGCGAAAAATAGATGGCCTCGATCTATGTCAAATTGGATGTTACTTTCTAGCTGATAAGTGTCTTAATTGAATGCTTTGATGTTTTCCAATTCACCGCCGTCAAAATATCTTTAGCATTGTAATTGTAGGGCACAGATTAAGTGCAATAATATTGATAGTGATTATTAATAATAAACGTTTTCTCCTTTCTTAGCCCCAGATTTGTATTTTGAGACTAGGCAAAGAAGGGTTTTCTTTCTGTCGTCAATCTGATCTCAGGGAGGGAACACCCTCCTCATTTTATTGCTATCATTCAGTAGGTAACTTTAAGCATATTATCTGCCTATAGCCTCATCCCCCCTCTATGGGTGTAGAGTTGCATGACTCATAACACTGTTACTTCAATGATTGTGATGGCTGCCTTCGTATCGAGTTTAGGCCTACTATGGTCACTTTAGTTCCTATATCATTCCATACTATCAGTTAAACCAGGACATTTGATGCAATAAACCAAATTTTAGCATCAGCTAAAGACGTACTGAAGCTATTCAATTTGTGGAGTGACCATTTTCCATGAGCTATCAACTTTTATCTTTATGTATGATACCGAATTTTTTCCCACCGTTGTTCACCTCCCTTTTTATCAATAATCTATTCAATTTTAACTGACGGGCTATAGCCCCCCCCCCCCCCGTCGGAGAAGACGATAAATTTTGTCGGGGAACAAACAAATAAAAAAAAAAAAAATATTTACATGTTATATTCGTTTAGCCACCATATCGTTTGTGTTAACTTTTCATCACAACAACAACCACAATAATAATAATAATAATAATAATAATAATAATTCAATGAGACTAATTAAAAATAATTTGCGTTCTGTTATGACAGATACTAATTTAGATAGCCTCATGATGGTGGGAATACATCGTGATAGGTGAAGCAACCTCGACCATGACAACTTGGTTGACAGATTTCATGCAAAATTTCCAAAATATAGAATTTCACTTTCAAGAATTGAGGATTTGAAAATAAATTAGATGGTTACATTGCATACTCCTTGTTTTCTTGCTTTATTCAAAATGTTTTGGTTTTGGAAGCTGATGTCAACATTAGAAATCATAGCCAACATGAAGTCATATTATAGTAACTCGATGCCTATCAAATAAGTAATACAAATTCGCCATAATTCATCAAATATCCGGGCCACCGGGGACCCTAGGCGGCCTCCTGGCCCCCAACCAGGTGAGACTAGATTCGCTCTGCTAGCCCCCCTCCCACGTCGGGGCCATTAGCCCCTCCGTCGGGCAGGTCCTGGCGCCACCCCTGACTTCATGTTATTGAATCCTACTACTACATTACTTCCTTTTCAATTAACTTATCTTATCATAAGGTAAAATATACTACATTACATTAATATTCGTAAAGTAATTATAACAATTAACTTTGTAAAAAAAAGTAAATAAAATGTTAAACATAAGATATGACATCTTATAATATTATAGATGGTCAAGATGAATACATATTATATTTCCCATCATTTTCTCATCGCCACTCTCTCTTTCTCCCTTTTTCGAATTAAAAAATGAATAAAGTTTTAATAGGCCTATCTTTTATCAATTAAAGAAATCAATCTGATTGGTCGATTTTTTCACTGTTCCCTGGTCTTATCAATATAAATTGTAATTGCAAATTATCAATATATTTTAATTTATTGTATCAATATTTGTTTCAAGATGTCAGTATAGTTCCATATTAACAAGATAAATCTTTTGCAAGTACAGTAAATAAAATGTACCGTAACGTTCCCAAATGCTGAAATTCATTTGCCGGCCAGTGCAATTAGTATACAGTGAATGGTAATCATCACATTTTATAATCGAAGAATTTACTCCTTTACATGTCATATCAATTAAACATTTTATAATAAAATTCTGGCCAGTAAAGTAATTCAATAAATAAATTGTTATATCAATTATTATTTAGCTTTTTATAACCTTAAAAAACCAGCTGGTGAGGCGAAATCTGTCCAGAATACGGGCTGTATGAGGGCGCAGTTGTCCAGAATACGGGCTTTCTCTGTCCAGAATACGGGCTTTGAAATCTGTCCAGAATACGGGCTGTGACCCGACTCCAAAAAAACAGGCTATGATCAATTGAAATCAGTTATACATATTGCATAATCAACAGTCGGTCAACCTAATCTTTCCTGAATAACTGTTATATTACTGATTTTATATACTTGCGTTTTCATATTTCAATCAATCAGTCAGTATATCAATTACAAATATGTCTGTGTCTAATGTTAAATATTTACTATTTTGACCTCTATTTGTTTGAAATGTATTGTGCACTATAAAAATATTGTGGTCGAGGTAATATATCAAATTATTGCCAAATAAGTGTTAAATTCAATCTTGAATTAAGGATAAAAATATAAAAAAAAAATCTTTCTCACAATGATTGAATTAAATAGTGCATTCAACTTTACCCATATACTTCGTCAGTCTTCATAAATTTCATGTACATTCCAATAAAAATAAAGTTGAAACAAAAGAGATGAAATCAAAAGAAAATGAGATGTTTAAAATTCAGAGTTGGCCTACCCTCTGGAAAAATTTTCTTGAACAATGTCTTTAATTGTCATCCTCTTGATGACAGGTTTTTCAGTGAGTTAAGTCTTGTTGTCGGCTTGTCAAGAATTTGATCATCATTATTATTCGGGTTGTCACGAATTAGACTTTGCTGTGTCAGCTTTTCACGAATCCGATTGTTGTGTGTCTGCTTGTCACGATTCCGATTTGACACATGTTGAATTCCAATCGTTATATAACAAAATGTTATTGAACCCTAATACTAAACAATACACGTACTATATAAACAAATATTTGCCTATTTATCAGCATGTTTACCTACTTATTTGCCTATTTAGCAGCATGTTTACCTCAGGATAGTAAATAGCAAATACCTGTAGTAAATACCCTCACCGAAAGAATAATAAGACGTGAAACTAACAATAGCAGAACATTTTTTATAGTAGAATACATTATATCAATACATTCTTCACTAGTACATTTAGAGTATTTTACCCAATTTCTTATCGTCATTCAAGAGTAACGATTTTTGTATTCTTCGTTTTCTTTATTATTGAGTATTCTCGTAGTAAACCATGTTTGTATCTGTAACAATGTAACTTTTGTTCTCCTCTTCACTGATGCCATGTAGTTGACATATACCTTTACCAAATTGAACGGACACGCATAATGGTTCCCTCAAGCAGTGCAACCCGCATCGGATGACGGACTGCGTATGATGATTACTTATCACGTGATTTTGTGATTGACTTTTATCTTTATTGACCATCGTACGAAATCGGAACTTTAAATCTAAAAGATATAAAGGTCTACTACTATCATCGGAAAATTCAGTAATTCAATCAATCGTTCAGCCAACCAATCAACCAACCAACCAATCAGTTGAATTAATCAATCAGTCAAGCAAGCAATTAAATTAAAATCATAAAAGCAATCAATAAATTTCAGTTTCAATTTATTTCACTTGCAAAACACCAATTACATATTATGTAGTATACGTTAGTGGTGTAACCTAAAAAAAAGCAAATATTGTAAACACGGTACGTTTGCAGGTATACATAAGGCACACATAAAAAGAAATACCCAAAATACAATAACAGCCCCATTAATAAAATAAATAGAGATTCACAAGAACTTTATTTCTCATAGTAGTTTAAAATAGAATTGGGAGAAATTTACAGATACATTAAATTATACAAAATAAACAGGTACAATTTGGCAAAAATATATAACATTAGTATATAACATTAAAACACATCAAAAGGTAAATCATTTTTTACAAACATTTAAAACTATTACTGAAAGCACAACACATCAAGATAAGTATAATATGTCAAAGCAAAAAAAAAATAATAAAATAAAAATAGCATGGATAGAGGTGAATTAAAAAATTATGAACATTTAAACGGCATTTTAATAAATACAATTTCACATCCAACAGCAAGAAAATTATCCCTTACAGTAGGGCCTAAAACAAATTAAATAATTGTAAATTGTGCACTTGAATAAATTTTGTTTTTTAAATGTGGTTACTTTTACTGTAAACGTACAATTGTTAGTATTTCCTGACGAGTTCTTAAATGTAAAAGGGTTTGCTTTAGTTGATCATACGATAATCAAACCAAATTTGATAGAAAAACTGAAAGCTAAATGCAAATAAGGCCGCAGAGAGACCCATTGTGTGCAATAACCAATGCTTAGGGAAGCGTGAATACCTGATGATTGGAAAGTGGCAGATCCTGTACCGAAAGTTTGTCCTCCACAGAATATGAAAAGTGATTTGAGAACAATATCACTTATATCTGTAACAGCGAAAATCATTGACAATATTATCGGGAAACAAACTTGGGAGCAGATTCGCTAGAAGATTAATCCAATCAATTTGGATGCACCAACGGCATCTCTACTACCGATACACTTATTTCCATACTTGGTGGTACGACGCCGCAGAAAAAGGCAAAGAGATGAGCTTTTTTTTACTTCAGCAAAGCATAGGATCTAATCGATCATATATTCTCATAACAAAATTACGAAATCCAGAGATTGATGAAGAGCTTTTATCATGAGTCCAATACAATCTTCATAACAAATGTCACCGAGTGAAATAAATAACACTTATTTCTCTTGGACGAACCCAAATGGGGGAATACCGCAAAGATCCTGGGTCGTTCCGGTACTCTTTATTGCGTTTATAATATCTCAACTCGGACCTGCCGATGGTCAAATATAATGGATAATAAGTCATTCCACCAAAGGACTAGGCACTAATAGCACCAATATAACCCAAGACAACCTGTCCAAAACTCTTACAAATGGTATGTCTTAGAAGTAGAACACATCATCACATGAATTATGATCAAAGAACCAAAGATATCGATTTACATATTAGCTATTATATTAGGAGGTAAAGGTGTTAAACCCACGTTTACATGAATTGTCAAAGAAACTGGACTGTATTTTTATTTATTTATCAGCCAACTTGTGCCTATACATCTCTGTGGATAGCTGAATCTTGACAGACTGTCTTCATCTATCATCGACTGGATCGATAAAACTAGCGAACTGTTTCCAAAATGGTATTCCTTACATTCATCTCAAGTTGGATAAGAAGTTGATGTGGGGACAAGTGGAAAATCAACACAGTAATTTACCTAGAAGACACAACAAGAATAGCACTCATACCGGTATGTCAATACAACGGAATGCGTATCAGCCAAGAAATAATGGACGGCATCACAACAACGAATACTTTTACAAACAACATTGCCATACATTGCTTTGAAAACAAAAACGTAAAATAATGACTACTTCGAAGTACAAAAATGATTTTATTAAAGCCCATTTAAACATTGGGGGTCTATCCATGCATTTTTGATGAAATGCAACATATTTTAAATGAAACTAATGTCGATGTTTTCGGTTTAAGTGAAACTTTTTAAATAACATTATCAATGACCAGGCATTAGGATAAGTTTAATCGTCGCGAATTCATTTAATTTAATTCGAAACCGTCGATTTTCAGCTGTTTTCGCTATTTTTTCTCTTCATAACTTTACTTCTACTTGTCAGATTTTCGCCATTGTTGTTTTATTCTATTCAAAATTTAATAAAAGTTATAGTAAACTTAATTTTAATCCATAAGATTGCCAAATCTCGTCGGACTTTTTAATTTTGTAACCGTGGTTTTCCAAATTTTTCCGTGTAAAACCTACGGTTTTAGCAGAAATGTGGCGAACCGCCCGAAGTTTTTATGTAGTAGCTCCGCTGATAGTGGGCCGATTTTCGGAATTGTTGTGGCAACATGTAGCTTTATTTATAGGCTACAACATATGTAAAAATCATTTGGAATGGTTAATAAACGACGTCGGACTTTTTATTTTTGTAAGAATCAACCAGTAGCAAGTCAGTTTAGAAGCCAATGCTTTTAGAATAGCGAACGAGTATTCGACCGTATTTTCGAGCAGAAGGAGCTTAGCTTTGGAGTAGAAAGTTAATTGCATTATCGTGAAATATTATTTTGATTTTTAGTTTGTGCATGTGTAGATGAACGTATAAATATATTTTTTAATGTATTTACATAACAAATATAGTAGTTATGACAGTTTATAAATGACGATATTCTGCTAGGTCCACGTATTCTCTTCGGCGAAACTCAGTTTCAGATCTGATAATCAGACCATACCATTTTCAATGGGTCATGCAAGTGCATGGTAGAATCATCTGTAATAGGCACATTTCTACAATGTTAAAAATATGTATACCTAAAGAAGTATAATATTAATATTACCTTTCTGTTTATTTTGAAGTACTATGAGCCTGCACCTACAACTTTGTCTACATTCACATAAACTAAATACCCCTATTTTACAATGGTACATTTCGCATGCTTACCAGATTTAACATCCGCTCTCCCTCAAAGGGAGTAAATTTGACCATTTGACAGAGTAGAGAAACTGCAGGAAACAAACGAACCCGAGCCAGCATTGATTTTAAAGATATAGCGCCGCCGCGGATAGTAAAATTGGCTTCTATGGAAGTTCCACTATATCGCGAACTGGTCTATCTTCTTCTATTATCTTTGGTCCTAGGCAAGACCTAGAAAGGCATAATGGCTTTGAGATAACAAGGTGATTGACTATAAAAGAACTGAAAAAAGGCAACGCTGAAATAATTCATTGAAAATCTTTTCTTCCATGTCCAAAAAAGGCAGAGTTGCTATGATAGTCAGTCATAAGATTCTTATGATTACATCTCCGGTATCTCACTATTATCTGCTAAAACAACACAATTTTCCAAAGAGTACAATACTCTCTCTACTTCAATCTGCTTCTTCTTGCTGCAATTTCTTTAATAAATGTTTGTATTCTTGAGTTGTTGTATTCACTTTTTGGGATTTTGACTTTTTTGACTTTGATAGAAACTGATCTTGTAGTTTCATGTGTGTAATGATTATTGTCTTCCGATTTGATCGCCATTCATTCCTTCAGATTATGTGATCTCTTCTTTACCATAGTTAACACATTATAATTGTTGTTGGCGCCAGGTTTAGGAGTGAAGATGCAATCCTGTGGCGATTATATTGCTCTAGCAAATTCAACCATAGAAAAACTTAGCAAGTTTGTTTTAAAGTTTATATACAATTATGACAAATTATTAAACGAGCTAACTACCCAGCATACAATTCATTAAACTCTTTATTAAGAACTCATTAAACACCTTAGCTCAGTCGGCTAATCTGGTGGTAGCCACTGTGTGTGCGCTGAACCGTGGAGATCTCCACGTCCCCGGTTTAATTCCCATCGCTGCTTCTCCTTGTGTGGAGGGCTGAAATACAAGTTACAATAGCGCACTGTCTTTCGGATGAGACGTTTAAGCCGTTGGGATGTGTACGTTCAAGAACGCAGTAGGCCTACTCTTCGGAAAACTCTAGGGATTGTCTCCCGGTGTACTGTCTAATCACCACCAGAAGGACCCCACTGGATATAAGTCTTCTTCTGTGACTTTCGTGGGCTATTCTTGGTGTTTAGACCGAATAAATCCAATCCAATCCAATAAACAGTGGATGGGAACTAACTGGCTAATGGAAAGTGTTTTATGCTGAGAGAAACTGTGAGTGAAACCAACCAAAAGATAGTGCAGAACGAAATGATTCTAGATTCAAGATTCCATTTATAGTTATATTCAAGTACAGTCATGAAATTTGTTTACCTGAGCTGGGAGTACACAAAATATATAAATATATACAAATTAAATAATTACAAGACAAATATTGAAAATAACATACAGTGCCTAAAATACATTAATTACAGTTAATAAAATACACTATGTACAGTAAAGATTTAGAGCTGGACAACGTTGAGTTGCTATAGAATTGGTCAAAAAGATTATGTGATAGAGTGGAATGTCAAAACAAGTGAGGATTCGTCTTCTGATGACGAGAATGATGAAGAACATAATTGTGTTGATCACTTTCAATAATCCAGTAAGTTTACAAAGTTGCAATAAATAAAGCCAATAGTAATAGTTCTCATAGTTAATTTGGGTCTCTTTGTTTGTATAACAAAGACAGGTTTTATTGCATAGTATATTGTAAATAAGTATGGTTGTCACCCTAGCTTTAAAAAATAATTACGTTGTTATTTATTGAACTCGGATAGCCCAATAAAATATGATTACACACCAAATTTACCATCTTTATTCGAGCAGAGGTGGAATTATAACAACAAAATATTTGATTTCCTACGAAACCAAAATGCCATCCTACCTTTTGAAACTATCTTTATTGGACTAAGAGTGACCAATAACATATAAATACTGTAGACCCGAATTGATCATTTTTCATAAAAAGGTATGTGGAATTATACTGAAATAATCTATTTTTGTTCATTTTTACAGCGGCCATCTTGAATTTGTTAATGGCTGCCATTCTAGGTTTTTTGAAACATGTCTCATTTGATTCAGTGACCCCAATAACATATACATAGACAAGATTTATGCTTTTTCATTGAATAAGTAAAGTTTTGAGCTAATATTGGTTCCGCGCTTTTTCTGGAGGTTCTCCCACACTCAATTTTTTATTTATACCCTAGTGACGCTAAATCAGCAGAGAAACCTTGGTCTCCGAAAAATGGTCAATGGTCCTGATTTTCACTATACTATAACTACAATAAAATTATTCCTATCTTTTTCGTGTCGCGAAGAGTGTCAGTGCTCGTACTACTAACAAATTATTCTAATACGTGCAGCTAAAGCACAGGCACAGTGATCACGGTCACCGCAAGTTTGATTTGTGAGGTAGCAGCCGCTCTACTACCAGCAGTTTGATTAAAGGGCCATAGAAAAGGTGATGGAGTCACAACTGACTTATAAGATAGTCAAGTAATTCCGTACACTATAGAAAATTGAATCCTGAAGGCTTCAGGCAATTTTTTTCAGGAAATAATGGCTCCTTCGCACTTTGTTGCCTATAGTGTGCTCCAAACCTAACTATAATTGTTTATTATTACACTGGTAGTGTAGGTCTAAATTATTTTAATTTAATTTATTTAATTATTATTAAATATTCTTTCTCATGTATTAAACTAGTTGTTGTGGTTGTACGGTAGTCTGTGGCAGTTTGGTTGTCGCTACAGATTTCAATTTTGTTACACAAGTCAGCAGAGAAACAGTAGCGATACCTTGACGGTGAGTAATAGAACTTATCGAATTGTTCTGAATCCAAACCGAGTGACAGTCTTCGATTTTTAAAGAATATTTGAAACATATTTCTATATCTCATACATTATAATAATGGTCACAAGCAAAGAATCTACCAATGTACCAAGCCATTTATTACTATTAACGGCACTTTTAATTACAAATATATTTTTACCTGGACATCCAAGAACTTCAAATCTCAGACTGATGTGTTCATTCCAATCGGTTGGATGGATACGGACGTATCGAGCGAAGACTCCAGTATTGAACATGTTTGTCACAGCAGTGTTTCGATCTGAGTTTCCAGTAAACACCTTATAAGATAACAGTGTTATCATTATACATATGTATTGTATATATTTCTGGCTGTTTACTTTAGTTTTTCTCTTGCTTAACAAATATAAATCTTTACCTTCATTACTTAATCGTCCTTTCCCTTCATCTTTATCCATGGTCCTTTTATTATATCATATTTTGACACGGTTTAATTGACGTTCATTTACCAAACCAAATGTCACAATAGTTCAACTCTACCTTAAAACAAGATTGCCTGCTTGTAATCTCTACAATAAAGATGACAACGATAATGTTACTAATTATCCAAAATAACAATATTAATGCTAAACAATGATAATATGAACTTACCGCAATTTGACCACTTCCTTCCGTTACTGGTTGAAAGTTGGTATTATCAACACTGTGATGCACTTCGTACGATGTCACCCATTCATTCCAGGCATGGCTCCCTTGTGTTATTACTCCAGTGACTTCATTCAGTATACCAAGATCAACTTGAATCCACTGATTATTGTCATTGGCCTTTGCTGACCATCCTTCTCCATATCCAGCATTTTCGTCTGCGTTGAGTCGCCCACGGTCAGCCCCATACCACCTTTGATCATTATATACACTGGAAGCTGTAAGTTGGTCGGAAGGAATAGTTCCATCTTCCACACCAAGAGGATCGATGCAAGCACCTACAGTAGTAAGATAAAATGTATAATGTATGTGTGTGACAATATTTTCTGTAAACAACAATTTTATGGGTCATTAATTTTGGATTAAAATGTTAATTAAAAAAAATAAAAAACAAGCATACACTCAACGGTCTTAAATACAGTATTAGGAGTCTCTAGAATATGCTGCTTAACTTTCATTGCCGTTGGGCTTCCTTATCAAATGCTGCATGTGATTTTTAATAGTTTTCCATTTATAAAAAACATATCATAATACCCCTTTTAAATTGTTATACTGTATTTATTATATTATAACAATAAATTAAAATTATGTAAGTAAATTAAAATCTATTGAGTTTGGTATAAAATTGTTCATCAATTAAACAACCGAGGTATTTCTTTCTTCAACCCTTTCTATTACATTTCTATTATATTATAAAAGGAAATAGTGGATATGATTTTTTTCCTGTAGTCAATTACCATTTCTTTTGTTTTGTTCACATTCATATCCATGATGTGAGAGTAAAATTTACATTCATTCATGTAAAAGTAATTTATAGTCAACTGTATTGAAAGCACTTAAGAAATCGATATAGAGGCACCTTATATAAGAAGGTGGCACATCTAAATGTTGATCATTATTATGTAAAAAGAAGAGAACTGTATATACTACACTACCATTACTTCGGTAAGCAAATTTTATGGGGTCTAAAAATAATTTAGTTTTGTCAAGTAATACTCATATATAATATTAGAGGTAATGGCCATAGGTCGGTAGTAGTTTAGTTCTTTTGAATTTTTCAAATGGGATTCGAACCTATGACCCTCTGCTGCTGATGCAGACTCCCCAACTTGGCCACTTTTACAATTTTTGAATCCGGGAACTGATTTCACACTGTCTTGCACGTGCGAACAGTGATGCATTGTATATAACACAGACCAATAGTCCATATCGTATTAGATTGGTCTGTTATGCATCAAAGATTTAAGATGTTTAAGTTCATGTGTAAAAAACAATAACAATGCATCATATTTTTAAGGTATTACTTTATTACCTCATCTATTTATTCTTGCACATAGACACAACACTTAGATTGGAAATTGTATTGTAATAATATACCTTTAAAGTTAAAGGTGGTTAACTTATTTGGAACTGACCAAAATTGTACATTATTGAGCGTTTAGAAAATTCTTCTTAAATACAACTTTACATAGATCTATTTGTTTATAATTTGTATACTGTATTTACAAATTTGGAAAGAAGTAAAGCTGGATATATTTCTGTGAAACAGTAGGCTCTACATTATTCTTCCTTAGCACAATGTGAACTGATATTATTAAGAATATCAAGCCAACAAAAAAAAAAAAAAAAAAAAAAAAAAGGAAATTAAAAAAAAAAAAAAAAAAAAAAAAAAAAAAAAAATGGAATTTTAGAATCAATTACAAATGATTAAGCGTTTAGGATGAATATAGATGGAATAATGTTTAAAACAATCTTATAGAATAACTTAATTGAAACAACTGGAAAGGAACCTTTCGTTCATATGTGCCGATATGAGTTTTATATTTTCAAAAAAGAGTTAATGAACTCAAACTTCAAAGTAAGTCTTAAGTTAGATGGCAGATGGTGAGAGGCAAATATTCTAAATGTTTGGAATAACATATTGAATAGGAGGCCAAATATGTACGAGGCCAGATCAAATTTCCTTAGTCTCTAAATATCCTTTGAACTCTATTTTAAAATTAGAAATATATATTTTAAAGTTTAACGGTCTGTAAATCACACATAAAATCAAATTTTTATTTATTCATTAGTACTTGATAAGATAGAACTATAATAGAATCTAACCCACCTAAGCTCCACCAGGCTTAAAATATATAAAACCCATTCCATCTATTTTATTCTTTATTGGTTTACTTTCTATACCTTACTTACAAAACATTTACACATTTTGATAAAGAAACTATAATTTTCAATGCGAGTAAATTTTCAAAATATTTATTTTATTTTTTCATCAAATTTAGAATATATATTTTAAAGAAAATTGTTTTTTATTTTAAATAACAGCGACATACATTTACAATATTCATTCACTAATTAAGAATTCATCGATACTTTTAAACTTTTAAACACTATTGCAGATAATGCCCTTGTGTTAAATTATTAATTCCTATCTATAGGCACAAATAATCCGGAAAAAGGCATTATCTGCATTTTGACCACCCACTCCCCCAAAAAAAAATTTTAAAAAAATCAGTAGAAAGTATATGACAATTTTTTAATAGTATAGTTTTTAAAAATATACTAAAAAGAATTGAATATCATTTGTTCTTTTCTTTGGCTAAAACCAAACGCGTTTTGCTCATTTTCTCAAAACCTGGATTTTGCGGATAATGTCTTTTTCCGAATCAGGGCAGTATTCTTGTAAAATATTGATAATGCATATACAAATATTTGCCCATTAATCTGGCTTTTGTCCGAGATAATGAATAATATCCTGTGATTCTTGGACAAGATTTTACACATTTTAGGACTATACGAAAAAACCTACTTATAGGTAGGGCCTAAGAATTAGGCCTAGCCTTTAGTTTATCCAGGCATCTTATTTACAATATTCACGAAGGAATTCACGAGTATAAATCGTGTAAAAGCGATTGTAGAAATACAAATATCCGCCAATTTACCTGGCTATTGTCCAAAATAATGAATAACATCCTATGGCTGTGGATTAAAATTTGACAAATTCAGGAGTTTACGACTAAAAACAACTTAGGAAAATATATGATTATGGCACCACTAGATGGCCGAAAACGTTTGAGTAGAATTATAGTTTTTTTTTTCAATTTTGTTTATAGTTTGAAAAATGGGGGTGGGGCGGCCGGTTATTCCCCTATCCCCTTTGAATCCGCCACTGACAATCATCAAAGATTTAAAATGAATTATTAGGCTTTATTTTATCCAGGCAACTGTCGATTACAATACTCATAAATAACAAAGCGGATAATTTCAAGATATCTGGATGATAATGAAAAGAAAAAAAATTGCTTACCCCCAGTTCTATGACTGTATAGTGTTTGTAGTAAAATCAGGCATACCACGGATATTGTTGCAAAATAACCCATTTTGTCCGAAGGTACAAAATAAAATAATAAGAAGATACTTAATGCTCAATGGCACGCAACTGACCTTAATTGGTGTGGACCATACAAAATAATAATAGATCGTTAAACGCCACTTGACTCAAAAATAATGATTGACAACGAGATGACGCGAGGTACGGCAGTTGGTGATTGGACAGTGGTTAAATGTTTGAAATCTACAATAATATTTAAATTATTGCTATCGATCGACCTCAATTGCGTTCACAAATAGACAAAATTTATTAAAAAAAAATTGAGTTCAATATTTTTGATGATAATAATTTAAAGGGCTAAGCACAAAAAATAGGAATTTTGTGGAGAAAATGTTAATACAATAATATTACCCACTTGATAAAATGCTCAAACTGATTTTCTTGACACTTGCCCGGCAAAATCTATTCCTCATTTTAGCTAAACAAACAAAAACAAAATAAATAAAATATCAACATAAGTAGGCCTTTGTCCTTTATGTAATAAAAATAACGAAATATAAGATCTAAATATAATTGCTAGAAACAAGCCCTTCAGTAGATGACCGGGGTAATGTTTGTATGCACTTAATTTAGGAGAGAATTTCTCAATTGTTATTGACTAATATGGACCCTAGGAAGTATCTTCATTTTAATCTTATATTTTTTTCAAGACGAACGAATGACATTGGATCTGTTGTCAAATAAAAAATACAATTTAATTAACTGTGAATGAACGTGGATATATCACAGGCCTACACTTTCTTAGTAAAGTTTTCTGTAGATTAAAAAAAATATATATATTATTGTGTTGTCGGCCTATTTTTGCAGTTGAATTGAATATTAATTACAATGAATACGATAGTTATTAAAAAAAAAAAAAAAATATATATATATATATATATATATATATATATATATAGTCAAAATGTTGTTTGTGGTTTCACACAGGCCTAATCTCAGTCATATCATCATGTTTAAAATGTCAGTGAGTACAAAATAAGAAGACAACATTTCTTTATTGTGTTAATTATTTTGATGATTCCCTTAATAACATATAAAAGAAGAGCGTAGTTTTTTGTAAAGTAAAATCAATAAAAACGAGCATTCTTCTGGCCAACTCTGTACTTCTTTCCATATCTTCAACCTCGTCAACACTGTACACTGACGTTGTGAGGGAGTCAAGTGTCTAGTCATGTATACTGCTAATTTGCATATTATTATTTCGTCAGAAAAACATCTCTTATTTTATTCATTTCCAAATTAAGTTCCTCAATTAGTTTATTCTTATTATATTTAAAAAAAAGATTCCATAAATGCAGTTGTATTCTAAGGCATTAATTATACGTCGTCGCCAAAAACATCGACGAAATATTTAATTTTTTAATGTTATTTCTTCTAAGTTTGAAAATGTACATCTAAAAGGTAAACAAAGCTTATAATTGTTGTACTGTAGTTCTACAAGCCTGTAGGCATACATGGTGTTATATTTAATCGCGGCATCCTTGTTGTGTTGTTGTTCAGGCTACATTTTGCAGACTGCACGTGTCTGAAACCGTGCTCTAAAATCCGTTTGTAGAGTATTTTTCATTCATTTTGTGGACTATTTTACAACAAAGCAACAGTGGTGTATCTAAAAGTCTTGAAATGGGGGTGCTAAATGGGGGTGGGGTGGCGAAGGTGAAGTGGGGAGCTTGATGAACTGTTGACGCGCGCTAACTCACAAAATAAGGTGATTTTAAATGATTTTTAACTATTTGCAAATGATTTTTTTGGGGGGGGGGGTGGGGCGAGTAATTTTTGAATGGGCGTGTGCAACCCGATAGATACGCCACTGCATAGCAAGTCTTAAAATTGGCCATAATACTGTAGCATTAAACTAGAATATCTGAGTGAAAATGTAAACAACAATAACAACATAATAGTGAAATATTTGTTGTGCAATGACATACCGTATAGTTTTGGTCGTAGGCAAATACGCACATGTGGTTGCAACCCACACTCAGTAATGTTAATCTAAGTACTCTTGAAAATCACGTAAAATCATTTTAATTAATTTAATAAAGTGTAATATTACTTATACAGTAACTTAAAAACGATCTGTGGTTCTTTAAATACACTTTAATTTAAATATACAAATTCATGAAAATAGAATGCCCATGAGGTGGTCTTTATGTCGTTAATTTTTTCAAAATTGTTACACATTAAATGCACTGTATTCGTTTTTTGAAATATTAGAGTCTTTGTTGTTTCTAAGGATGTATATAATATATATAAATCATTTCGAGGGAACGAAATAGTATTTCGAAGGTATTTAATTCCATCGAAATACTATTTCGGAATAGTTTAACATTTTTTTCTAACCAGGGGCAACTTGTTTAACCATTTTACTTATGTAATTGTATATATACAATATAAGCTTATTTAAATTTAAGTGAATTTTACGACTCATGGATCGTTTTTGAAGTCAATATATAAATATTAATACATTTTATTAACTTTATTAAAATGATTTTGATATAAAAATAGTAAAATTTATAAATATACAAAGGTTTAAGAACATTAACAGTATTAAACTTGGATGTTCCTGTGGCCATTTTCACCAAATATCCTGAACGTATTACCACCTGTGTACGTAGCAGAGCGTGAATTTTGAAATTCTAGAGACCCGTGTGACATGAATTGACGTGACGACGAAAATGGTGGACAAGGTGTATTTTAGCTCAAGTAACACCATATTTTGTTTATGATTAATTAACCCAGGGTATATTCGTGATGTACGTATCAGCAAAACTAAGTATTAAAAGAAAACGCAATATTTAGACATTTTTAAGTTCCGTTACTCAATAATACGAGTCACTTTCCATGTATGCGTGGATGGCATTTTGTATATACATTAGGACTAACGCTGGAGGGTTTTCGACAAGACTTTTTAATGTGTTTTTTAAGGTATGCATTTTTATATAGTTGTACGCTTCAGTGTAAAGTAAAATTGACAAAAGCATGTTGGACTAACACATTTTTCATCTCTTATGAGGGATGGTACTTGCTCATATGACACCTAGGTGCCCGAAAATTCACTTCCTTTAATTCATACATTTTGTTTAGATACAGACAATTGATTATATTTTTTTTTGACGTGGGAAAGGGTTAAATTTGTAGGAAAATTTAGGATTGAATTTATTATTAACTATTGGTATTTTCAGATGCTTGAGTAGTAATGGCGTAAATAGGTTGTGAGGGGTCCTGGTTCAAGAGTACAGTTGGGGAAAATTGACGCATTCAAATAAATTGATTAGCCATGTGAACTAAGATGTGTACCACCGATGGGTTAGTTTTGGAGCATGGGTCATTCCGACTTTAATAATATTTTGACAATAAACCTTTGGATTATTTTTGAAGCATGGGTCATTCCGACTTTAATAATATTTTGACAATAAATCTTTGGATTATTTTTAATTTTTAGATGCTCTCATATAGTATCTTTGAAGAACCGACTATTGGCTGGACTGACCATAATAAACATGTCTACTTCTTATAACCAAAAGAAAAGGCACATTCAATATTTATTGAATATTCGTTCACTTAGAAACTGAGCACGAGTAAAAACTGAAAATGCAAATCAAATTATTATTTATTATCAAATTATATTTTATCAGTTGAAAGCAGACATATACATGATCCCAAACGTTTGTGGTATGAAAAGAATAAACAAAGATTGAAACAATATTCATCCAAATCTTAATTGTGAAAATTTTATCGATTATTTTAGTAATATAAGAACAGAAATTAAAAACTCAATTAAAGAAGACAAAACAGAATAGAACAACCAAAATTGTATTCGCACACTAATTTTTACGATAATTGTATCTGGTGATATTGAAGAGAATCTGGAATGCTTATCTGAAAATAGTTCATAATTTTGATACTAGGTTGTAATAAACTAAGACTTGCATATCGAAAAAGCTCTATGTTACATTATAAATAATCATTAATGAATGGTATGTTTCCAAATGCTTGGAAAGTCTCAATGACTACCCCATATACAAAGTTAAGCCCTAAGAATTTGTGGTATCTCAGTGGTATATCTCAATGAAACTGACCTTATAAATATGCTTTTACGAAGTACCAGTCAACTGTTATATGCCTTTACCATTTAATAGATCTTCTGGTGGATTCTGGGGCGGATGTAGAAATAGAAATTATATGCTTAATAATTTCTCCACTGCCCTCTACTACCAACGAAATAGTCTACAAAACATTCAGCAATAAATTAAATTATCAAAAATACAAAAAAAAAAACATTTTGAAAATACATTTCTTAAACATAAAAATGATGTCAAGGTAACTTGGAAAACCATTAATTATTTAATCAATAAATCAAGTAGTCAACAATCCAATACCTCCTTTAATTGTGATGAAGAATTGATCAATGATCCTGATAAAATCTCTAATGCTTTTAACAAATACTATGTCGAAATTGAACCTTCCATTTCACACAAAATTCCCCACGGTAACAAATCATTCAAAGACTTTGTTCCTAACCCAACCAATAATTCCATATTTCTTACACCAGTTGATGAGGCTGAAGTGACCCAAGTACTTGCTTCTTTTAAAACCAAGAATTCCCCAGGTAACGACTTTCATACTAAGGCCATCAAATATCATTGATAATCTCATCTGTCGTCCATTATGCCATATATTTAACATTGCCCTAAACTAGCATTATGTTCCCAGACAGGATGAAGTTAACTTGCGTTGTTACCCCTATTTACAAATCGTGCATCAAATCTGATCTCTCTAACTATCGTCCCATTTCAATTCTCTCCATTTTTTCGAAGGCCTTAGAAAAGGTAATTTATGATCGAGTATTCTCATGTATTATAAAAAGTAGTTCGGTTTCTGAAAAGGACACAGTACTTCAATCGATCTAACAAACAAAACTGTTAATGCTTTTGAAAATCGTCATTTTGCAATTGGACTATTTATAGATCTTTCCAAGGCCTTCGACACCATGGATCACAATATTCTTTTATTTAAGTTGTCCCATTATG